TAACTTCTGACTAATGACACAGTCAAATTGCATCTCTGGGGCTGAATTGGCACTTACTCACCAGGAGGTGCGTGGAAAACTTCTCTCTCAAAGCTGAAGAAACCTGAATCTGACAAACAGGAAAATGAATGGTGAGGGAAAGGAATGCAGTCCTGGCATTTTAGGGGTATGCAATGAGATATTTTGTGGCAAAGGATCTCAGGACGCTGGTAGCACGTTTTATTTTACTTAATTTTCATATTGCAAGTAATTGAGTTGTGCTACTGGCTTTCTATAAAACTCAATCTACTGAAAACAAAGCAGGAATTTCAGCATCCTTTAGAATCATAGACTCATAGAATCTCCAAGGTTAGAAAAGACCTCTAAGGTCATCCAGTCCAACCATTATCACCAATACTTCCCACTAAGCCAACTAGTCAGCCTGCAAGTCAAAGGCATTAAGAGATCAGCTGAAGTTTCTTTTGGTTCCAGCACAAACTATTGGGAGATAATGGAAGATGAAGGCTCTGAGCTGTATCCAGTTTTGCCACTATTTATTATTTTATTCCAGGAAAGACATTAAGACCTCCACACGTGGGATCTTTAAAGGCCAGGAGGCAAAAGAGGTCATTACTCCATCCTCCTATATGTCACCTACCAAAGGGTGTCACCTCATAGTGACACTGCTGCATAGGACACAGGCAGCCTTATGCTGTACACCTTTAAAGAGAAGAGAGCTCACCACTCCGCTGGGTTATTTTTTCTCATGGTTAATAGCAGTCATTCTTTAAAAAAAAAAAAAAAGTTTTATTTCTACTTTAATCTTGTCTGGCTTGCACTGCCAGCCACAGCCTGTTTAAATGTCTCTGCACATTGAACAAAATACTTTATCATCAGGCTTAGCAGCACTGTTTGAATATTACTCCTACTTGCTACCAGTTCTATCTACCACTGATATTAACCATGACAACAATATCACTGAACATTTCACTCCCAGAAAAAAAAAGAACACGCTCTTAGTATTCCATGGAAGGTGAAATGGCCCCCAAGAACCTGGGCAATGTGATGTTTTTCCTGTTTTGCCAGGTATTCAGGTAGACAGCATAAAAGGTTATGGGATGTTTCTGAGCTGTGGGCAGAACCAGTGTTTGCAATAGAACAGCACTGCTTTCCATGCCCATCTGGAGAGGGCACCACATTTCCCAAGAGGCATTAAGCAAATACCAACATGTCCGTGGCCCTTGCGAAGTGCAGAAGGATTCAACTCATCATACAGGAGATTTGGGAATTGAAATGATTTCTCCCCCCTGCACTGTAGTTCAGTAGCTCAAGGTTTAAATATGCTGAACTCAACTTATAGCGCTGAGGAAGATTAAGTTGCTGGCACAAATAAGAAGGAAGTCCACATTATCTCTACTCTGATTTTACTTTTAGCTCTGTTACATACTGGGTTTGTTGAGTACCAGTTCTATTGATGATGTTTCTTTGGAGCTTGTCCAAAGAAGGGCAGTGATGCTGTGAAGGTTCTGGAGCACAAGTCTGATGGGAAGCAGTTGAGGGAATTGGAATGGATCACTCTGGAGAAGAGGTGGCTCAGGGTAGAACTCACTGCTCTCTATGATGCCCTGAAGTGAGATGGTGGGGGTCAGCCTCTACTCCCAGGTAATAGCAATAAGATGAGAGGTGATGGCCTTCACTTGCACCAGAGGAGGTTCAGGTTGGGTATTAGGAGTGAGTGGTCATTGGCACAGGCTGTCCAAGGAGCGGTGGGGTCACCATCTCTGGAGTAGTTCCAAAACTGTGAAGATGTGGCACTGGTCAATGAGCATGGTGGGACAGGTTGGGGTTGGACTTGGGGATCTTAGAAGTCTTCTCCAGTGCTAATGATTCTATGATCCCATGTTTCCTTCTATAGGCATTAGTAATGCTTCGTTTACAGGACAGTGTTCACATATAATGAAACCTGGAGGCAGAGCTGGTCTTAACCTACGAAACATCACGGATAGCATGACCAAATGCCCAGCAGAGAGAACCTGCTGTCCCAAAACCCAAGTTGCATCCACTCCTGGAAAGAAAGAGTTAATGACAACACGCGATGGGACCCACTCACAGCAAAGTTTGTACACTGTCAGTGCATTTGTTGTACTCTGACAGTGTGTTGTTCCAAGGCAACAAATCTCTACACCAGTGTACTAAAAAAGGCTGCGTTAATAAATTAGCATGCTGATTTCTATCTCCACCCCCCTCAAAAGAACAAGAAAAAAAATGAGCAAGAGGCAGACTCTGACACTGGCTCTTCACTATTTTTAGCAGACTTTGGCAAGGCACTCGCATTCCGTTTCAGGCGAACCAGAAGTTGCAGCAAACAGGAATTGTTATTGTTTACCCATTTTCACACTCAGCCTTACACCTGGGCTTGTTTCACCTTTGTCTTAGCACAAGATGGGAAAGCAGTGCTGCACCTAAGTGGAGAAATCAAGGAAAAATGGAGGAGGTTTGGGACATTTTGAATCCTTTCGTACTCTTCATCTGCCAATGACTTCAAGCAGAAAGCTCTCCAAGAAGCTCATTTAGTTGTTTTTATAAGAGGAAAGTGATGCTAACTTGCTGAGAAAAATCCTAAATTGCAGATGTACCTGCTTACACTTAACTGCAAAATAGGAACTGCTGTCTTGACATTGTTGGTCACAGAAAATGAGTGTTGAAAGCGACAGTGGAAAAGCCATATGCAGCAGCAAGAGGGGAGTAGGGAGCCCCATGTCTGGTGTTTGATGCGTGATCCCAGGGCGGATACCTGCAGGCAGACCCCAGCACCTCTCTCCCTGCCCATCCCCTGTTTCTTCCATAGGGGATGGAAGAAAGATGGCACTGCTCTGCGTTTCGCAGCAGAGGCTGTGCTCAGCAGAAGCAGAATGAGCGCATCATTAATCACACTGCACTGTTTGCGTCCCCTGGTCCAAGCAGTGTTTTGATACATTCCCACACGGGCAAAAACACCCTGAGAATTCCTCGCTGGGTTTTGCCGCTTGGAAGCATTTGCTGCCCTCACTGTCACTTTGTTTGGCAAAGAAAGGAAAGGATTCAGAAGGAGAAGATTCAAACCAAAGTTCAGCACTCTCAGGATTCAATTAGAAGGCTCTTGTTGCTTTGCAAGCTTTTCTAGAATCAGCAGAGGTCCAACAAACAGACCAACCCCTGTCAAGCCGAGGAGGTGATGCAGAAATCAAGGAAACTATTGAGGGTGTCAAAGGCATTGCCATCAAAATCCTCCACAGCATCTCTTCCTGAATGCACACGGTTCTGATTTGTGAGGGAAAAGCAGGAAGGCATGTGTACATAAGTGATAAAAGAGCAATTTGTTAGAGGCCTGACTATGAAGTCCAAAATAAGCCAATTACGATTCTGTGATTCTGTGACACCACGATATACTTGCTGGGAAATTATTTTGCTCCCTGTGCCCATGATAAGCAATTGCAACTAATTGCTGTCAACAGAATGATAGAATCACTTTCCTTTTTTCTTTTTTTTCTTTCCGTTTCACTGGAGTTAAGTAAGAAGCAGCCTTTCCCTTGACAGCATATGGGAAATGTTTTTCTCTTTTTTCTCATTCTGGATCCGTTTTGCAAGACTGGTCTTAGAAGTGCTGTTATCACTTATCCCACCCCCGCATCGCATGGAGTTTGGTTTTCTGTTTCACTCACACTCAGGCAATATTGTTTTTATTTCCAAGCAGAGAGAAGTACCAAAGAACTAGAGGATCCTGTTATAGTGGCTGGTTTCCAGTGTCATTCAGGAAAAGCAACTAATTTCTAAGTGCTGCAGCAGCAGCATTGACTCTTTAACACCCCAAGTGTGTCTCTGTAGCTTTATAGTTACATCTTTCCATCAGTAAATCTCTTAAGCATTTACAGACATCCTATTCAAATAATCTTATAAGCAAATTATTCATATCATTTAATAAGCAAGCTAAGAATTTGCTTCTAAAAGCAGTAAGGGGCTTAAATTTTATTTGAACAGAAAAAAAAATTAAATGTTTGGCATTGGGAAGAATTCACAATGTTTTAAATCAGTAGATATCAAGCTAAATCCTTTGGTATCAGTATTATCATTAGGAGTTGGTCTAGATGACCTTGGAGGCCTCTTCCAACCTTAATGCTCCCATAGCCTACTTTTAAAAATGCTGTTAGCAATGCTGTTTCATCTTCAGTTGGCACGGCCACTTGGAGTTGACTACAGTGTCAATGAGTTCCAATAAATGCACAGCCAACGGCTTTGTCACTCATTTGCTGAATAACCCCTGTCAAACCACCTCTAGTATTTCGATGCTGTTCTGCTTCCTATAGAATAAAAAGGCCCACAGTGCTCTCCTTGCTAAGGACCCATCTACATTGCTCTTTGGATGCTCTCTGGGAGTTAAGATTGCAGGTAGATATTACTTTGTTACGCATTCCAACTTCAGACCATTTCTCCAGTGTTCAATTTCTTCTAATTTCTCTGCATTTCAGATGCATGCCGCAAGAAAAGCTATTTCCTGAAAGGCTGCAAGAGAGAATGAGCGCCCAATATCTAATGCTTTGAAGACTTCTAGTTGGTCAACCCAGTAATCCAGTACTCAGACTTCCAAAATGCTGTGATTTCCTACCCTTTGAAACCCCTTTTGATGACCTCCTCGACATGATTGTTATTTGGCTAACTGATCTTGAATGAGAAGTTCTAGAGGGAGCAATTTTCCTGTATTACTTGCTGTCTGTTCTCTTGCCTCAGGCTGTAAATGGGAGAAGCCAATGCTTGTATAATGAAGTGGGTGTCTTGAGCCTTGAATTGATCTCTGATAGCATCCATGTAATTGTACAGCATCATGCATTCTGAAAGACTCTTTCCTGCAGGAATTAGGCTTTGAGTCATAAATTTTCCAAGACAGAGCAGAATCTTATTTACGTTTTTCCAGTGTTTAAGTTTCTTTGGTTACCTGCAATTTCTCACTGCCTCTGCCTTAACACTCTGTATATTTTCCATTTTAGGTTCTTTCTTTCCTACAATCAAACCCCCGGACACACTTTTTAAAATAACATTTTGGCTTGGATATTTAAACAGCTGCATCAACCCCATCATCTATCCATGCTCCAGTCAAGAGTTTAAGAAAGCGTTCCAAAATGTCCTGAGAGCGCAGTGCCTCCCAAGAAAGCATGCAGCGAAAAAGCAACCCCCAAGCTTCAACCTCAATCACCCCAACAGCCAAAGCATGGGAGGTGGCAGAGGAGTGGTCCGCATCCCCGTCGGCTCGGGAGAAACCTTCTATAAGATTTCCAAAGCCGATGGGGTCTGTGAATGGAAGATTTTCTCCGCCGCGCAAAGCGTGCCGACGAAAAATGCGATTCCTAAGGACAAGTCCAGCTGCACTGCTGCCAAAGTGAAAAGCAAAGGCTTCCTCCAGGAGTGCTGCTGTGCGGGCACTGCAGGGAACGCGGTGCATGAAAACTGCAAAGTGCCAACCATTAAAATACACACCATGACCCTCAGTGAGAGCGGGGAGGATGTCTAAAGGCTCTGCCAATGTGAGGCCGCTGCCTTCTCATTGGGATTATCCATTTTGTTGGGGATTGGAGTAGATGCTATAGCAGTTGAAGGAGTTGGGATGAGGAGTTTGCATGCTGGAAAAGAGAACCAGGCCTTGTGGGGAGTGATGGTGGAGTGTTGGTAGCCTGAGGAAAGCCCTTTAAAGACAGTGAATGGCTTCAGTGGATGGTGAGCGCCCTCTGCTCTTCCAAGGGACGTGGCTCCCCTGAGATTTAAAGGCCTTGTTTTCACTGCATTTCCCTCTTTTAAAGTCCAGCTGCTCAGATTTAGATGTGATGTGGGAGCAAGAGCCAACTACAAGGACGCCATGCTGATTTCAGCATGGATGCCTGCAGACAGCTCCAAGTTTAGAGCCAATTCTGTGATTTTTTATTTTTTTTTTCAATATATAGATGTACAAACATTGATGCAACATCCAGGAGAGCTGAGGTTGGGAGGCTCAGGTCTTGGGACAGTGTTTACAGATCTCTGCTTATGTTTTGTTAAGGGACTGTGGACGAGAATGCATTCCTACCATGTCTTGCCTCTTTTGTTCATCTCCAGCTTCATTTGGGGAGATCCTACAGCCCCTGCTGAAGAGCAGGCAGCTCTTGGGGTGACACCTTCAGCTGGGCAGTCCCATTTTGTCCTCAGTGTGTCACATCCAAGCATTGCACAGCAAATGCTCCTCTGGCTCTTGCTCTGTTTGGAGTGGCTCTGAGTTTCCCTTGGTGCTGAACATGTCAGTAAATTGTACAGCCAAGAGAAACTTGATCCCAGTGGTGCACTCCTCCTAGCTCCAGAGACAAGAACTTTTCTGTTTTACACAACCAATCTCCCCCAAATCCCCTGATTGAAATGAAAATCTGCATGCATCCTAAGTGTGTTTGAAAGGTTTCTGCACTTTGATGTCTGATAAAATTCAAAAGGAGGTAAGACATCATCAAACAAGGCTTAAACAGGTCTCTTTTATTCACCCGTTTGTTTCCCTTCTTCCAAGTTTAGCAGAAAACACCTGAAACCTCAGAAACTCCTGGCCCAGGTGCTTTCCCCAGTCACACCTTCAGGTACTGCTGTGCCACAGTCACTGGAAAAGCTGGATGTCCCATGGTCCCTTTGCCCAGCATTATGCTACATCCCTCTGCAGTGCAAAGTACCCTAAGCCTTCCAACCCCACATACCATGAGGTCAGGAAAGTTATCCTTCTTCAGAGCAGTGAGAGCTAAACCCAGTAACTAACTTAAGGCCATACATCCTCATGAGAAAGGCCCCTTCCTATGGGAATTTGGGTGAAAAACATTTGGGAGCCTGGTATATTTTAATGCAGCTAATCTAAACAAATAAATAAATAAAGGGGGCTGCTCAGCATCTGGAAAAAAATACAGAGGAATTCTCTGTGCAGTATTAGAAATAGGCAGCTCTTGACATGCCTCCTCCCGAGCCTGCCAACTGAAAAATGCTGCTTCCTTGAAACAACACATGAGCCTCCACTCATGTCTCAGCATCAGCTCCTGAGACGTGCAGGATATGCACTGGTTTGAAAAGGAAAAAGGCTTAAGATCAGCGTTTTCAGGATGGGACCTTGGAAGGACAATCCTGGTAATCTTGATGAGGAATCACTCTTTGTTCATCTCTCATTCTGTATGGTCTCCAGCATCAAGACAATATTTATTTGTTCTCTCATTGAAATGCTGGGTCAGAGAGCTACAGAATGTCCCATACAGGTTAAAATTAGAGAAAACTTCAAATCCAGTCCTTACTGTCAGGCTCTTATTTATTTCCAAAAACGTGTACTTGCAGGTAGCATATCTGTAGCATTGTCCCATTTTTATTAAAAATAAGAAATCCACTCCACCCTTTGAGCTTTTCCTCAGGTTTTCAATGATTGGAAACCAGGAGTGCTAAAATACCATGAATAAATATTCTCATGGTATTTCAAGCCAAGACCAGAAGCAGAAAAGCTGGAAATCTCATAAGAAAGTCATATGAGACTCCAAGCCAAGGTTCTTGGTCTCATGGGGTTCAAATACGTGGGACACTCGCTTGAATAAAACCTGAACTCTGAAACACTGAAAAAACACCCATTAAATGGAGCTGAACTACTCAGACTGAGTATCTCCACTGCAGCCAGGTTCTGCCCCATTTGGACGGATACCTGCTGTGTAACTCAGACCAAAGGGTCATTGTGCCCTCTCTCCTTTGGAGTTGTGAGAATTCCGACCTTAGGTTTGTTGTAGGCTCTGCAGTGTCGGGCGTGGGGTTGTTGTGGAGGTACAGGTGGGTTGGAGCAAATGGGTTTGGTCATTGAATTTCAGAGCAACACAGCTGGAATCTGCAGTGAGTATAAAGCATGCTGGTGGCAATGTCTACGTGGACAGGTCTATGTAGCACCGTGCTTCAAAGAGGCAGAGGTTAGGATAACAAAGCGGGAGGTGGTCAGATCACAGTGTCACGACTTTCATTGAACTGTAGAATCATTAAGGTTGGAGAAGACCACTAAGATCATCTAGTCTAACCATCGACCCATCTCCACCGTGCCCCCTTAAGCCACATCCACTGGACCGCGTTGATCCATTAATCAACGTGTCCCAACTGGAATCAGAGAGCATCCTGCTGTCCACCATTGTGGACACTGCTGTCGCGTTTCCCACCATCCACACTCATTCAGATCAACATTCTGTTTCTGGATTTTCACATGCTCTCTAAGATTATTCAGGTCTCAAATTTTCTAAGGTTTTCCCGTTGTCCAAAAAAATGCCTCCGTGTTTTTTCTCTGCCAAGTTCAAGGATAAATTACACATTGTGTAAAGTGATATTTTCCTTTGCCAGGCTTCTGTGGCATTGGAAGGAGGAAAGGTTGAGTTCAGAATATTTCTTGTTCTTCTGCTCGGAATCAGCAGACAGATTTCACAAAGTTCTTCAGTCTTGCAAAATGCCCTGCTTGACTCCTTGTGTTCTCTGAGGGTTAACGATGGCTGGAGCATCATGTACAAGCTGTGGTCAGCTAGGAAAGTTCTTAACACCATGCAGAAGTGGAAGGTCCTAGCTATGCCCAGAAGTCAACTAACACATTCTGTAAATGAATTTATCCACTATTACTTGCCTAATTGCAACGAGACTCCAAGGGAGAAGGGTAAGCTCTCTGGCCAGACTAATCCTTTCTTTTCCCCGCTACATCTTATAACCTAGACCTTTCCCAGCTACGAAAGGGAGCTAATCCAGAACATCATCAACTACTTTTTGAAGGTATTCACAAGCAAACGGTTCAATGTATGACAGCATTATGGAAATCCAAGGCACTACAAGAGCGTTTGTCGTGCGTTAAAACAAAGATCTCCCTCCACCTAGCTTGGTAAATATAATTGAATCACTTCTTTCCCAGGAGGAGGTTATAATGTTTGTATTTGAGATTCAAGTAAAATGTCACGCATTCTAGGCAGAGCGTGCTGCATATTTCTCATACTGGCAGAGCAGGGGAAAAATAGCTATGGGGAAATGAATTGCTAAAAAGAAAGGCTGGTTATTGCAAGCAAATATCACATCGGAAATAACATGTCTTTTAGTTGCATGACATGCTCAGAGTTAATGCGGATTACTGTCTGTTATACCAAGCTCAAATCCAAGCTGAAAAACATCCTCTGCTTCAGCATCACAACACTTCTAGGTCTTTTTCAGAGCCAGAATGTCCAAGGGTTTACACCGGAAGGCAGAACTGATTTCCCATTACTCAGTGTGTCAGACCAAAGGACAAGAGCTTCTTGTATTGACCTGCACTGCAACTGTCAAAACTTGGCCCTTCTTCTGAAGAAACAAGGAAAAAACACCTTAAATCTAGTCTGCATCAGATTTCCCTTTAGAAAGCAGCTCCACTCTGCTAATAACCACAGCATCATTAGTCTGTGGTACAATGAAAACGTGCTGAATATCGTTAAGTGCTCAGTTGTATTCATCTTACAACTGTGGGAATTGTACGCAAGCTGGGGCCGTTATTTTGCTGTTGTTTGGATGGGGGTTTTTTGGTTTGTTTTTTTTTTGCTTAGACAGCCTTTGGCTGAAAAAGTATTTTATTTTTCCTTCTGTCTGCAGCAGCACTTGGCCTGCATGTCATTCGCGTTTGGCTGCCAGTGGTTTCTACAGACATTTCTTGAAATGGGCACTGCGTTTTCTGAACATGGTATTCCAGTGTCATTGGGGTTTGTACATGCTGTTTTTATAGACTAGTTATGATGCCCCTTGTTCAAACAGTCGTACTGGTCATTTCCTTGAACAAAATGAATGTATGTGAAATGTTGCTTGGTGAACAAATAAATTATTGGGGGGAATGTGCACTTTGGAGCTACAAGTTGACTGCTTTTTTCTCCTTTCTTCTCCAAAACATTTATATACCTGACCTTTCCCTTAATACAAAGCTTTTGGGTAGAGGACTGGGTAGAGATTCTGAAGACCTCGGTGGTTTTAGTGGGAGTAAGGGACGAGGAGAATAAAGGAATTATTGTGCTTCTACTGCAAAAAGTTAGACTTCATAAAAATCTGAAAGGAGGCTGAAAATTCCATTTGGGTCCCTGGTCCTTGCCGTGCTTATTCAGCCTGCTTACAGTAATACATCAGGTCCCAGATGGAATCCAGTCAATTTTGCTGTAGCCCACGTACACAAACACTAAGAGAACTACCTCTGTCAACCCAAGAATGTGAATCCTCTTTGGGGTAGGTGGTGCTGAATGACTGTATTCCATGATTTGTAAAGGGAAAACAGAAGGGTTCCCCAGTAAAGCTGATGCTCAGAATTTGGAAGGTCTTGAGTACAGTTGTCAATGAATCCTTTGATAATTTGATCCAAGGTCTCAGGGAATCTCTGGAGAAAGCTTTTAAGGGCACAAGAAACAAAGCTATCTGCTCCCTTTGCAGACTTGCTCTTCCCCTCTGGCTTAGAATGAGCATTACTTTGTGTTGCAGATGTGGTCCTTAAGTGGTACAGACTCGAAGAAA